AAGGCAAAGCAGGGCACGGGGCGGGGTGGGGCGGGCCGGCCGAGACTCTTTAGAGGGGTGAAAGGGTGAAAGGGAGAGGGGAAAGGGAGTCAGTCAGATCGGAGAGGGAGCTGGGGGCGTGGGAGCAGAGAAGAGAAGAGCTTGCAAGATCAGCGGTTCGTCTCGAACGAGTGAACCGAGCACTTCCGCCAGTTCCGGTCTCCGGTCTTTGGGCGCGGGTGACGTGCGGCCGACCCGGCCACATCACAGGACTAAGGGCCGCGGTGGCGCGGAGGGGCGGCCGTTCATGTGCGTGAGTGCCCTGCCCCTGCCCTGCCCCGGCCCTGCCCCTCCACCACCCCCACCACACCACTCCCCGACCCCACCCCGCACCCCGCCTGGTCCGCCTCCCGAGCGGCACCCGGCGCCACACTGCACACTGCCAACAGAACCCTCATGACAACGTCAGTCGAGGACACTGCGAAAAATTGTCGTACCGGGTACAGGAAAATTTTCCATGGAAGAAGTCGTACAAGTACAATCTAAAATTGTACAATTTACTAGCCCTATGTATCGACTTGGAATCGAATATCGAGCGACAGCGGGAGGTTGTACTCGTATAAATGGCAAATTACAAAATATATCGTACATGTACAAATATATTTTTCACAGTTGACGTACCTACGCAAAACTCATTGTGGGACAAGATGCCAGTTTTAGCTGCGGGTCTAAAGTCTGCGAGTCTTATAACTGTGCGACTCTGTCATTTGACGTGTTTAGTGCGTTGTGACCCACACCCACACACACCATACGGGTCCCAATGACATAGGATCTACTCGCTGAACCTGACGTATGTTAAACTGAGAATGGAGTACCATGGTTTAAATTGACAGACTGAGCAGTCTCCCAGCGTAAACTGAGAGGCTGCACAGTCTCGCAGTTGAACTGTATGACTATAGTCTCGCAGAAATACAGAGATCTTGTCCTACAATCATTAGACTTGCAGAGTAGCGTCATTTCAAATGGCGGGTTTGCTTACCGTCTCTCCCCACGCTGTAAAGACGACGTTTTGGAATTTCAAGCAAAGATTTCGCGCTCCAAGCAGCGAGCCTCCATTTCCTGTAGCAGAGAGCCCCCGTTTCTAAGCATAGAGCTCCGGTTCCCAAGCAGGGCGCGCTCTCCAAGCAGGTGCTCTCCCGGTCTTCAGGCAAATTGACTGGATTCCAAAGAAGAGCCTCAATTCTGCTAAGAAATGACAACGTTTGCTTGGAGCGCGAAATATATTTGCTTAGAAACCAATACGTCGTTGTCACTGTGGCACGCCAACCTTTCGCCGCTTGCAAGTAGGCAGGGCGCCGACACACGCCTCATGTCGTACATTACATGGTAATGGCAGCCTGCCGAGGTATTTGCCTTGCTGGCTGATTATGATTTGGGTCTGTTCTTCTTGGTCCGTTTCGCGTCTACCCCGCCGGGCCTCGGGGAGCTTGGCGATGCCAGGCGATGCCCAGCCTGGGCCGCGTGGGGCTGCGGAGCACAACAAGCGGTCGTTTGGCCGGTAAGCAGGAGAATGGCCCCGGGCCGCAGCGGCACGCAGCGGGGGCGTGTGGAGGGAGGACCGGGAATATGCTTTAAATGTATGCGAGCGGTGCGTCGAGAATCGGAGCGCGCCGAGGGGCATTTCCCTTCGATATACTACTTACAGTAGGTGGATTATTCCCATCGTATTCAATATTATTTCCGTTAGTGAGCCGCATGCAGGCTTGCCTCTCGTTTCCAAGCACATAGCGCCGAGTCCACTAGAAAAACTAACGTGACATAGTCACGTCAATCGATGCGACCAGTTTATGCGAGTTCATGTCAGACTTTCTAATGTGACTTGAGTTTCGGTCACATCAATTGCAACATCGTAGCTAAAAGGTATGGGCATTACACATAGGACATCATACCAGAATAAACGTGGCCAAAAGTATATTCACACCACACATTTGGAATACCAAGGGTGTCACACTTGGAATGCTTTTCTTCCAGTGTATAAGCAACCCGGCACAGTACGTCGTATACCCAAAAAGAAAAGACGGCGCAAATCACCCGCCCTGTATAGGACCCATACCGCGGCCCCTACATGGTCGGCCCCGACGGACCGCTGTGTTTCGCGTGCGCCGCCCTCCCTAACTGCGTGTGAGCCCGCGGGTGGCCAGGGCAGCGGGCTCAGCAGCAGCAGCAGCAGCAGCAGCAGGGTTAGCCCGGC